AGAGGGGGACTGGAACCCCCTACAACACATACACACACCGGGGCCAGGAGCTGTGATTCTACACCTGCAACCATATAGGTGAGTATGTACACACACACACACACACACACACACACACACACACACACACACACACACACACACGAACGAAGGAACGAACGCACTAACGACACTGGAGAACAGGAGAGTTAGGGAAAACATGATAACGACATATAAAATACTGCGAGGAGTTGACAAGGTGGACAGACAGGATGTTCCAGAGATGGGACACAGAAACAAGGGGTCACAGTTGGAATTTGAAGACTCAGATGGGTCAAAAGGATGTTAAGAAGTATTTCTCTAGCCATAGAGTTGTCAGGAAGTGAAATAGTCTGGCAAGTGACGTAGTGGAGGCAGGAACCATACATAGTTTTAAGACAAGGTATGATGAAGCTCATGGAGCAGGAAGAGAGAGAAGACCTAGTTGAGATCAGTAAAGAGACGGGGCCCGGAGCTATGACTAGACCCCTGCAAAGACAAATAGGTGAGTACAAATAGGTGAGTAAACCCCTGGGAACAGTATCGGAACTTACAGGAAGTTACACCAAGGACACTAAAACGGAAAAAAAAAATTAGTGAATGTAACTGTGGCGTGCAAGTCATACACCTTGTAAGCAACTTTCATTCTATAAGACTGAAGATCAACGTAAATTTGAGCCGCTGTGATGTACCGATGCTTTGTGCATTTGATGAATTTTCTGCACTTGAATTCCTCAAGGGATCCAAGTGCCGGTGACGGCAGGGAAGTAATCTTGAACCAAGGAATTGGAACTGCGCTGTGTGAGCCCTTTGAGGTGATAAAAAAAAATCTGAGGGAGAGGTATCAGGAGGATAGAAGTACAAATGAGTTGATCATGGATGAGTAATATTTTAGGGAGGCTTCCAGTGTAGTTGCCAGGACTGAAATATTCCAATATTCCCCTATGAATGAAATAATAATGTACATTTGGAAATATGCTAGCGAAATAGGCTTTGGGAACCAGACCAGTATGGCTTCTGGAGCAAAGCTTTGTTACGTAGTTTTAATAATGCTTTCCTTCTCATTTGGTAATGGAGGGTTTAGTGTTTTATGCTCTAGGGCGGAGTGAACAGGATGGAAATGGATAAATGAGTAAGTATTGAGGCATAGAGAGGTGGAATTGAAGAGTAATATTTGAGGATGGATTCGAGGGGTGATAAAATCTGAGGGTTGAATGACGGTAAGAATAAATATGAAGTTCAGAGAATGTACAGGTGTTGATATCCTCCTAGACTGGCTGTTGTCAGTGGCCTGGTGAAGCTCTTGATTTTCCTGAAGGTCATTCTTACGTCTTTATGTCTGAGTTTGGGCTTGGAAGTTGTTGGGGTTTGGGACGCCACAAATGTCGACGATTCCTGGTCAATTATTCAGCGTTGTCCAAGTTGATAAACATTATCTTCACACACAACCCGTTTTTGTGTTTTTAAACATTATTCGTTCTCGGGTAGACCGAGTACTCTTCAGTGTTGGTTGCTCACCTTCGGGTATCACAAAGTCATTCTGAGAATTGTGTTGGGGGCTATGTATGTCATTGGTGGTGGTGCTGTTTTTGATAGAAAACTGTCTTGGCTAGGAATGTATTAACACTGTTATTCGGTAAAACTGTTAGTGAGATTCGGCTAACTAGGGCTTTAGTGTTTGTAGTAATTTTGCCGTGGTTTCTGTGGCATGTGTGTGATTGTTCCGTTATAAACTGTTGTGTGCGGTTGTTGCAGCGAGGAATCATTTGTGCAGTTCGTCCTGATATCACCCTTGTGTGTAACATTGACATCGACTAACTACCCTCTTTTGTAGTACAGTGTTTCTTCATGGCGAGACCTGATGGAAGTAGTTGGTACATCGTGGATAATCCATTTGGGAAAGGATTACCATCTTGTTGAGACGTAGTTATATATTACCTGCACCTCGGTTAAACGGATTCAGTTTAGCTAACTAGGGTTTGGTTACGGTTGTCTTCTATCCCAGAACTCCTGTGTACTACAGTTTACTTGTCTATTTCCAGTCCAACGATGAGATGTACAATATCTCAGAGCAAATCTTGATCTGGTAGAAAATACTTCAAATGAATTAAGTTTTTCAGATTACATTGATTTTATTGCATACACAGAGGAAACACATCTAGTAACAGTGTGATGACTCGTAAGCCAGAAGAAAGACAAACCTTCAGTATTTTATCCACCTTATCTCAATAGGTGTGGTCTGAGTTAGTAGGAGGGAGGGAGGGAGACGACAGTGGGTAGATGCTGGGGGCAGATGTAAATGGGATGGGGATTAAAAGATGAGTTTCTCGTCTAATGAGCCAACAAGGGACTGCATAAGCCAACCAAGAAGTTTGGGAGTCAGTCAGGGAGGGAATGAATCATTGAATTATTAAATTATCAAGCCAGTCAGCCAACCAAATAGCTGGTTAGGAAATAATCAGTCAGCCAGCCAGAATCAAGTTAGTCAAGCGGTCAGTCAGATGGTTAGAGAACTAGCACGTAAGCCAGTCAGCTAGATTAACCAGCTAATTAGAAATAAAGCCTGTTAGTCAAGCAGCCAGCCAGCCCAGCCAGCCAGCCAGATGGTTAGTCAGCCAGTGAGAGTTAAACCATTTGTTGAGGCCGTTCACTACACAGTCGACTGGTAATCGCCTGGTCATCTGTCAACTCAAATATCACTTTCATCCCCCGTTCCTTCTAACTTCCTCCGTGACAGCAAGAAATGGAGGAATTATGGTTGAAGATGAGACTGACTTGTACTGGACGACTATTAGGCGTTGCGTATAGAGAGGAGACTTGTGCTCTTTAGCGACATGCGGAGGTATTTTGTAGACAGAAAGAATTTTTTGAAAGATTTGTTGCAAGACTTTCTCGTCTCTAGTCTTACCAATGAAGTTTTTGCAAGTCAGCAAAACTTCATTGGTAAGATTGACGACGTATTAGCAGTAAGAAATGTCGTATTTGATGGTAATTACTATAGGCTTTAGAATTTACTAGAGCTTTGGATGTGTAATATGTTAGATATAGGAGAATTAAAACTCCGGATCGGATTCGAGACGCGTTGTGGCAACGTTTCGCTCAGTAAAGCTTTGATGACCTGGCAAAGGTCTACTCAGAGCGAAACATTTTCCGGATGTAAACGTGTTCTGCGACTGTTTTTTTTTTTTTTTGACTTTATACTTGTAGGCAACACGTTGTTTTACGGGTTATACTATAATCTCTCTTGATAAATCTTTACTGAACTCCAGCGTTAGATTGGGAGTCGCCCCGCTTGTTTCTCGTACAATTTTGGGAAAAAGCACAAAACAGAATACATAAAAACAAATCGTGGTAATATATGTATGTGTAGCTGTATGAAGCACTTTCACTTTACCCAGGAGCATTAGTGTGTTAAGCAACGTCCACAACACACCCTCCCATCTCATCTTGGCCACATAGTCGAGTGTTTGAGCTAGTATCATTGGGGTTTCGTCCCTACGATTCTCCACTCTCATTGTTTCGTACTTTACCTCCCGGAGACCATCCGGTAGCATAAGAAGCATTACGTAATAAACACAACGTAGAATGTTAACGAAGCATTCCTTTCACTTTCAGTTTCCTTGCAAATTCGTATGAATCGCATCGAATTGATACTAATAATTAAATTTTTGATTGATATTAATAATTCAACTCAAAAATTTTATTCGAGAGAACCATGTACATTTACTCTATCGTGTGTTTTTTAAAGTGATAACATGTATGTTGATAATATTTTTGGGTCGTTTACATGCTCTTGCCATTCTAGAAAAAATACTTATATGCATTTTCTACTCTGGCTATTCTATTAAGGTTCTCTGTGAATTTGTGACTTCCGCATCAACACAGCTGGAATTTGTTGCATTTGCACATCGTTTTTGTTTGCCAGTGAGTTGAAGAGTTTTCCTGATTTGATTATTTTATCGGTGTATTCTGCCGAGGTAACTTTCCTTGTTACTCTGGTATCGTTTGCAAATGATAATACCGAGCTGCTCTAAATGTTTTTGTCAGTTTGCTGTGAGGATGAGAAATGGCAGTGGTTCCAGCACCATGCCTTGCGGTATTGAACTTTCTACTTTGCTCAGACTGGTTCTCGCTCTGTTTACTATTTACTTTCTGTGATAGATTTTTAAATAACCCTTTTCCTGTTGGCTAGGGTCGGCCTGAGGCTAAATTTCGGCCCTGGACTTCAAAACAGACCGGCCCACTTTTTACCCTTGCATGGAGAGAGAAACCAACTTCTGACTTCACCTCTGACTCAGAATATTCGATGTTTCACCAGCACAGCTATTAGAAATAAGCCTTAAATGAACCTCATAAAGAAAGGATATAGAATTCTAGTCAATTTAGTAGATCTGAAGGACACTGCTTTCTCCATTTGTATGTCTGATGGCTTATCATAGATGCTATCCACAGTTGTTGCTCCAGCAGTGTTTGTTCGGGCGTAAAAATAAATACTGATAGGCCCTAATCAATACCCCATAAATGTTGTATATATATTTCTATAGTATTTGCATAGCATGTTAATTTTGGACGGTGCCCCGTGGCCTGTGGCAAAAGCTCTAGCTTCGCTCGGTGAGCCGTCCGTGTTCGATTCCCAGCAAGGGAAGACACATTTGGCGTGTTTCCTTACACCGGTTGTCCATGTTCACCCATCATTAATAATGGATACCTGGGTGTTAGTCGACTGGTGTGGGTCGCATCCTGGGACAAAGCTGACCCAATTTGCCCGAAATGCTCTGCATTAAAAAGCGGCTTTCTATGTAGTAGTATGTCATTGATGTCAGCTAGGCCTGTATACCTTGTACGTGTACTGGTAGAAATACAGATATATTTTATTATCTTAAGTTTCTTTTTGCATTTTTTTTAAAATCGTGAACTGGGCTGGCCCAGTGGCTCGTTTAGGTCGCAGCCTTACTGGCATTTGCCAGAGTTACCAGAGAGCCATTGTGGGCCGGGCACGAGATAGGGCTACACTTAAAAGCTTTGGCATTCAAACCAGAGGGACCCAACATTTTTTTGATACGTTCATCGAACTGGAAAAGTAGTTTCATCTCTGATGTAACGTTACATACTATTTATGTGAAAATATTAAGAGTTCGTTCTGCGTATACACAAAAGTCAGTCAGTTTCACTTAATATTTATATAAATTATTTAACTCTGATAATCATCATGATAATTTTGTGTATCACTGCAAACAGTGACTCAGTGTTGCAGTAATAACTGATTAACTGTTAAGAAGTATGGAAGAAGAAATGATAAACGAATGAAGGAATGTAGGGTGGAAACTAAAAATATAATATACGGTGGGTAGTTTAGATGGCCGAAGCAGGGAGTTAGCAAGGAAGGAATCACATAAAAAAAAACATAGATTAAAATATAGGATGACTGTTTCCATTGGTGTATAGCATCAGTACAAGGACAATACCCAGCTCTGTTCTTAACACCGTCCATGATCTACTTACAAGCGTCTGGCAATCGCTGGAACGAGCGCTGGCGTTCATAAGGACACTGTCCGTCATCTGTGGGAAGGGTAACTATATGCTTACAAGGACAACCCGCTGACTCCATGGCAATACCTGGGGAAAGATTAGAAAAAACACCTTTTTTTTTGTAAGGTTAGGACAAGGTCGAAGCGTTCCATTTACCAAGGACAATGTTGATGACACACAAGGTATTTGTGGTGGTCTGTGACTTGTCATACGTTAACGTGGGAATTCAGTGTCTTGAATACGAATTATCAAATATGCTTAGATATTTGAAGCCAGCAAGTTTCCGTTAATATTTCGTGCATATTTCTCGCTAGGAAAGCGGATAATCAAAATTCTTTTTTTCCTTCACACAGCTTCGAACATTTTTACAACGTTTTCTAAGAATATCATTCGTGTACAGTTATCACTAAAAGTTCAGGACATTTCTTCAACGCCTGAGATACGAAGTCAATACAGACTTGAGTGCATTCATGAAAATGACGCAGTGTTTTGCTTTATTCTGTAATTCCTTCCCCTGGCAATAGTTAAAATTGCTTGTACCGTTCTCTGGCATTAGTGGCGTAGGTAAACACTCGAGCAGCGCTGTTATTATATTGTGGAACTCTGGTACATAAATACAGAATAGAGAGAACCTGTGCACATTGCTTTTTCTAAGACATTCTGCGTGTAACACTTCCCTATCAGACGTCAGCCTTGAATAAAGCAAATATAATCACTGGCTTTTTGCTCCAACTGAAACACCAACTTTAGTGTCAGTTTTTGGCGAACAATTGGCATCATTAGTTGCAGCATTTTGCAAGCGTTTTTATCAAACAGTAAGGAACACATCAATTGTCATTCCATAACAATGTATGAACAGTCATGCTGGTGCGATGTCGGGTGAGCCACGTGGAATGTGCGTACCCCTGAAACCTTGTACCACGAAATGGAATTTCAACACACTTTCACCACAATGGCACAGTAACCACCCCTGTACCCCATTCAGTACAATGGTACATCCTCTAGTACCTCTGTTCCACGATGGTACATTAGCAGGGAGTCAGAATTTTGCTCGAGTCAACAGTCGTGATAAAATGTTAGGGAGAACATTAATGAAACATGATTGACCAGCGCTCTCCGTATATACTGAAGACGAATGTAATTAATCCATTAATAACTTTAGAAGTTTTTAAAAGTGGTACGGTCCTGCAGGAGTGAAAACTTGCAAATGTCGCCTCGATCATTAAAATTAGAAATAAAATGCTTACTAATAAGCTTTGACTAATTACCTTAACTGCAATAACTATAACTCATGACACATATAGTAAAAGATAAAATATTGCAACATTTACAGCGATATGAATAAAATATCAATGTAAAATAAAAAAGAATTATGCAAACCAATTAGTCATTACACCGATAACCCGCAATTAGGAGACAGAAGCTTATGACGACGTTTCGGTGTGACTTTGACCATTAACAAGTCACATTGAAGCTAGAAAAGGGAAGAGAGGCCAGAATATGTACGAGAGTGGGCAGGGAAAGGGAGTGATAGACCGAGAGGAGGAGGTAGTAGTAGTGGTTGTAATACTGGTGGTGGTAGAGGTGTGTATATAATATATATATATATTATATATATATATATATATATATATATATATATATATATATAATATATATATATAATATATATATAATATATATATATAATATATATATAATATATATATATATATGTCGTGCCGAATATGTGAAACTGGTCAATTAGCAACAACTCATTTAAAATTAAGTCCTTTCTAAAATTTTCTCTTATACGTTTAAAGATATATTTTTTTCATTAATGTTAATGTAAAAATTTTTAATTTTGCTCCAAAAGAATTTTAGAAAACTTACCTAACCTTATTGTAACAAGAACAATTTATTTTAGCCTAACCCAACTAAATATATTTTAGATTTGTTTACAGTAATTTAATACTAAACAAACACAATGAAATATATTTTTTTTCGTTAGGTTCAGAATGATTTTGGCGAAATTATTGCATACACAAATTTTCGCTTGTCCTATATGGCAAGATGAGCGTTGCTATTTAAGCCAAGATGGCAAGTTCTGCCTATTCGGCACGACATATATATGTATATATATATATATATATATATATATATATATATAATATATATATATATATTATATATATTATATATATTTGGCGTCCTTCCCTCCTAGCTTCAGTGTGACTTTCTAATGATCCAAGTTGGACCGAAATGTCGTCATAAGTTTGTGCATTGTTCCAGTCACGGTATTGTGACTTTCTATTCGATAAAGTCATTAAGCGCCTCAGGATATTAGAGCATAACACAACCTTTGCCACGGATGAACAATGACATCATCTTGACGTGGCAGTTGCTGCAGAGAGCAAAAGATCTTGCAGCATCAG